CGGGGACACCCGTGGTGGCCACGCTGCTTGGCCCCAGTCGCAAGGTCCACGCTGCCTCTGCCTCAGGGGTGTCATCCCATGGGGTTGGGTTCAGCCCGACCCCGACACCGTGGGCAGGTTGTGTCTGGCTGCAAGGGGCCGGGAGCGATTGATGGGGGTCTGTCGCCTCGGGTGAATCGCTTGATCTGTAAATCACTGGGAAATGGGCGCAGTCACCTTCTCCCCTCTCACGTGCCTGAGCAGCTCACCTCCCGTGGGCATCTCAGGAGGCATCTGTGAGAGCACAGGTGCCATCCACCCCCGATACTACCAAAAAGTCTGAACTAATACCTGAATTAGCTCCTGTAGGAGAAGCTCGGGGCAGAGAGGCTGGAAAGGGGCTTTTCCGTACCGAGATACACAGAACCAGTCCACACACATCCCATTCTCTCAGAAACAAAAACCTTGGACTCAAGGTGCAAACAAGAACCTGAACCTTCTGTCCCAGACGTGTCCCTGAGTCGCAGTGTGCTCCCTCCTTGGGCTGCTTTCTCTACAGCAGCAACCTCTGCTCTGGAGCACCAAGGGTCCTTGTGATACCCCTCAGCCTCATTTAGCTATAAAGTGCACCTGGTTTGACAGTCCCAAAGACAAGTCCCTTGATGACACTGGGACATTGGCTATGGATCCCACCAGAGCTCCCACCCTCCCTTTATTCCTCTCATCCCTTCCAGGTTGGTCACCCATCATTTCTGGCAGCATTCACCAGACGAGAAAAGCAACATTACCGGCTGAGGGAGGGCTGAGAACCTGTCTCCAAAAAGTGAAGCTGAAGCCATCAAGCCCTCAGCCATCCCAGCCAGGTCCCTAGCAGCATGGGGACCCGCTCCCCTGGGGCAGGCAGCTGCCCGAGACTCAGCCACGTGTTGTCCGTGTTTGCTGCTGATGGGCAGCGACAGGTCTGGGGGTGTGAGAGCAGGCTGGGAGGGAAACAGAAAAAAAAGGATCCTGAATAAGGGTGACAAAACCAGATCTGCTGCTTGTTGCTCTAACAGATGGGTATAAACCAGGATGATCCCACTGACCTCAGTGGCTCCCTCCCAGCTGATGCCAGCAGAAGCACTGAGGTCCCCCCCAGCAGGGGCCAGTGACTCTATTCTCCCAACATGGTACCCAGTTGAACCTTTCCAGGCTTATTTTTAGGCATTTCTAGGCTAAGTGTTTCTCCATCTCCATAGGATCCCACCAGAGATGCTCCTTCAGGAGGAGTTTCTCCAAGAGGACCAAGTCCCTGACAGCATCCCTCAGCCTTGGCTACAGCTCAGAGCCTTAATGCTGCATCTCCCTCCGCTCCCACGAGCCCCTCCTCTTCTCCCCATCGCTCTGAGCTCTGTCTTTAAAGACGCAGAAAGGAACCGAGTTGCCCAATTCCCAGCAACTGCCAGCTGGCTGTGAGCACCTGACTCCTAAAAGCACGTGTGATGTCCTCCCTTTCTCCCAGCCCAAATCTATCACTCCCACCTTGAGGTGCCGGTGATTCAGGCTTCCCTCGCTGGCTCACAGCATCCCTAGCGCAGCCTGCATCGTGCTCAGCCAGCGCTGCTTTATTCCTCACCCGCTGCCGAGGGAGGGCCAAAAAGGCATGAATGCAGAGATACCGAGACAAGTGGGAGGGTGGGAAGTGGAGGGAGAATAGCAGCCTCCTGGTGAGTTACTGACCGCAGCATCTCTGAAGAGGAGGGCTGGGAACCCAAATGCATTTGCAGAGCAGAAAACTTTGGAGCTGCTCCCAAAGGAAGGGTCTGGGATAGAGCCTCCAGCAGGTTTTTGGAGTGATTTTGGCTGTTGGGAGAGGGATGTGGTCCCCTGACGGTGCATAGACATGTTATGATCCCTGCCAGAGGAAGCTGTGAGACTCCGTTAGATTTCTGATAATCTCTCTGTGCGCGGGGTCTGTGGCCGCCCCTGAACGGGGGATTTAACATCCCTCCTGCAGCGCCGTGACAGCTGAAGCTGTGCCCCACGCACTGCTGCCTCTGCTCCTTCTCAGCTGCTACCTGCAACCAATCCCAGCTCCTCTCAACTGGTCTTTGGAATTGGTTTCACTCCTCCTCCAGGTCTGAATCCATCACCTTTTAACTCCTGGAATGCCCTTGGGGTCCTGTTCAAAAGGACAGGGAGAAGCAGCTCCCAGGAGCCCCATTCTCTGCCCTTATTTTAGAGGCTGCCAGCACATCTCCTGCCTGGGACAGCTGATAGCACAGAGATATGGGCATTGAGATGGCAGCAGTACATCCCCATGTTCCCAACTCCAGCCAAGCCCTGCGCAGCAAGTTCTCAGCACCTGTTGCAGATCTCTGCCTTGGAGGAACCCTCATCCCTGGCAGTCCCCACAGATCACCAGCAATTCCTCCCTGCTTTGTTCTTTCCACTCCCCCTGCACATCCCCAACACCACCAAAAAAAAAAAGGTGGGGAAGTATTTGCCTTCCTTTCCCTCCTCAAAAAGAGTTTCTCTAGATACACAACACATGTTCACAAAACCAGAAGAGCTAAATGTGGAGCCAGAAGAGCTCAGCTGCAATTTTAAAAGAACCAGGAGAACTCAGCACTGTTTTCTAGGCACATTATCCAGCTGCCTCCAAGCCTGACCACCTCTGGTCCTGCCTCTGCAGACAGCTGAACAATTAACCGCTGTGGATCAGTCCGGAAGCGGGCAGCAGAGAGGAGAATATCCCAGAGCAAAGCTGAAGATGTCTGATCTCTTCTGATGCTATTAGCCAAGCTTGGGCACGGGGGGAGGGCAAATTCATCTTCAGTTAAAGATGATGCGGAGTGGGGGAAAGGAGAGGCTAAAGAGAACATGCAATTCCCCTGATTAAATCAGCCAGAAACAATGAGGTGCTGGTGCCCTCTAATTTTTAGATTCACAGATTTTAGGACCAGAAGGGACCATGATGTTCATCTAGCCTGACAGTCTGTATTATGTAAAAGCCACTTGAAGCCAGACAGTGCCACTAGCTTTTTAGAAGCAACAGCAAGCGCTGTGGAACTTATTAAAAGACTGTGATTCTCCTAAGGTGGAAGGCCAGGTACATCCACCCCACCGGGCTCAAACTGAACAGACGGTGGCACTGGGGGGAAGAAAACATAATTTCCCTTCCATATCATGCAGTTCCTCTACCCAGCAAAGATGAAAAAAAAAAAAAAAAAAAAAAAAAAAAAAAAAAAAAAAAAAGCAACCCCTTCCTTGCATTTTCATTTTGAACCTTCCCTAGTCCCTGGAAAGATCCTGGCCCTGAGATGTCTCTTGGTCACTTGGTGTAAAACCTCACTGTTTGCAACGGTGCAGCTTCGTAGCAAGGAGAGCTGAGCCCGACCCACCATGCAAGCCAGATTCTGAGCTCCTTACTCAGCCTGCAGCACCGCGGAGGTGTAGTCATTGACTGCAATGTGAGTTTTTCTCTGAAGATGGAGCCAGGCAGCATAAAACATCAATAAAGAGCTCAGGATGCGTCCCTTTAATGAGCTGAGATTGTAACACGCTGACGGAGCTTGCCAGAAGCTGCCCATTCTGTCAGGAGGAGTAGATCCTGCTGGAGAAGTGTTAAGTGGGTCCTGCTGACTCATTGATGCAGATGGCTCTGTCCCCACGCCGACGGCGGCGAGGCAGGAGGTGCTGTCTCGGGGGAGAGCATCCAGTGCAGGGGCTGAGCGAGACAGCGCCTGGGCTGAGCTGGTACCCCGGTGTGTGAACTCAGCTGGAGGGGGAACTTGAAAGCAGATGTTTTTCGTTTTGTTTTGTTTTCTCCGTGTGTCACTGCATAGAGCAAGCACCAAGTGTTGGGCAAAGCTCAGGGTGTCCTGGTGCACTGACAGGCTCCCTGTGCTTCCAAGGCAGCTCTTCTTCTACAGAAAAGATGTTTGTCGCCACGAGGTCCCCCACCCAAATCCACATCACCCTTCCAGCAGAGAAACCAGAGCAAAGATGTGACTCAAGCAGCAAGTGTGGTTCTAAATGTGTGACACAGAGACCCCAGCCCTCAGCTCCTCGGGAAGCTGAGCAGGATGGGTAAAGTTGGAGGGTGGACCGGCTATAGAGATAGTGGGGGGGCTGTCAATACAAGCGTTGCCTCGCTGGGAAATTAAGTTCATCTTCCATCTCCCTGGAAGGACTGGCAGATGCCTGGGCACATATTCTGACTGAGGTAGAGGTAGCCAACTCTGGAGCTGGATCACTCACACTGCATGAGCCAGGCAGCTGCGTGGGGTCCTTCCTTCAGCACCCTTCCTGACTGTCTTTGGTGAGCTAAAACCTGAGGTCTATGTGGAGTGCCAGGTGTGGGTGATGTATATTTCCCCACCCAAAACACATTGCTACACCCACTGGGGAATCAAGTACCAAAGGGTTTGCACCCTCTGGACCCGGAATGTCCCCAGAAAGCCCATGGAACACCAGTCCCCCTTGTCAGCCTGACCCTGCATCCACAGGACACATGCTCTTCATCCAACCTGTGTCTGTATGGCACCTTCAACCCCTGGCTTGATTGGGATGTGACACTCTCACAACTGTCTCTTGTCCCCAAGACATCAGGGCTATCTCTTTCCCCAGCTTCTATGTCACACACCCCTTGTGATGCTTCTCTACCACCCTGATCTTTTGTAGGAGCAGTTACCACTCTCTGTTTCAGGTCTTCATCAGGCTTTCCAGAAGTCCCA